AAAAGACGGAGTCGTCGCTGATGCGAAAACGTATGAAACCGTTTTGTTTGGGGCGACTCGGTGGGGAAATTTTCCCGAAGCTTTGAAAATCATACGAAGCGCCTTTGATTTGGGACATATGCCTCGCAATCGATCTCGCCGTGTCATTGGATTTCAAATGGATACGAGAAACTTTAAAAATTTATGGAACGCTATGAAAGATTCCGAAGAGTTTGAAGTAAGAATATGCAATCCAATAGTTTTGAAAATTTGGGTGAACGCTGTTCATGATCTCTTCTTTTTCAGATATTTGCGGTTCCTGTTATCCAGGAACTCATTCAAAAATACAACTCAGCAATCTATCGATACCTGCCTTCAGGGCTTATTCCAAACCATGACTATAATTTATGGTCAACAAACGACCAGCACAGTCATAATGCGGCCCTACCTTGTCGCGAGACTGCGAGCCGTTCCTATGAGCATTTTAACAAACAGCGCCCATATCCTCAGCAACGCCTTTCATTAGCTTCAACAGCGTGGACGAGCGGGCGTCCATCGTTCGACGGCAGTCTAAGCTGATAAGAGGATACCCGATTTTATTTATTCTTGAATCCACAACGCCTTTTGTTCTTAACACGGGTTCAAGTGTTTTATTGTTATTATTTAAATTTGAGCAAATTGATTTCTTGTTGAATATTTTTACAGTGTATGATTTTTGAATGTTAGCAAAATGTGTGACTATATCAGCAGTCCAAATTTGTAGTGGGGAATGGTTGTTTATAAGTTAGTCATTTGATGCGAATCGTCGTTCAATGCCTTTTCAAATTTCTAGCTCAACTGACGTGTTGCCTCGATTTTAAAATTTTCAACCACTGATGTAAATCCTTCAGCCCTTTCGATAAAACACTAGGGGCGAGACTCTGTGATGCTGCCTAATTTTGAATGTGTTCACAAAACTTGCGTTACAGAAAGCACATGCATAACGAATGACTGCAATCTCTGCAGGAGTTATCTGCAAAACTGGAGTTGCTCCTTGTACATCACTATTGCACCTTCTTTTCCTAAAGCATCAGTCGATACCCAAAAAACATCATGGAGGTGCAACAAGGTTCACCAAACTCTCCGATCAACGACCCTCCCACCATTCAACTGCAATTTTCATCCACCGCAACGGCCGGCCCACCATCCACCTCGTTGCTTGATACCGCTCAGGTGCCGGCAACATTCCGAGGCGACAGTATGTTTTCCATTTCTTCGCACTTTTCATTTCGTCCATCTTTTCCAGGTTACCACATTCCCCCCAGACGCATGGCGAATGATCCTCTCACTGCGGAACATATGAGCGTCGGTTTGTCGACTCGATTCTTCCAACAGAAAGAGAATATGAATCATCGAGATGTTCCTCGTGTCGAAAGGTTGCAAGGTCACAATGACATTGATGCGCCACCAGAGTTTCCCGTACTTCTCGGATCGTTCTCTAAACTTCCAATCGATACTTCACTGCTCGGTACAACATCTTTTCCCCATTCAAAGTTTGAAACAAAAACCGAGTTTTCTCAACCAATACCAACGCGCCCATACATAGCACACTCCATCCATTCTACCGTCCCTCCCCCCTTACCGTATACTGCAGCATGGGGAAGCTTGCCTCTTGTCTCCCCAAATCATCCAACAGCGTCCCAACGCCCGCCATCAACCATCCTACCCACCTCCTCATACATCCAAAACTCCGACAATCCTCCTTTTCGCCCGAATATTGCGGCGTCAAATACCAATCAGTTTCTCACGCCCCCAATTGCGAATACGCAACTTCATCCGCCTCAATCGATTGATTGCAGAATTGGAAATTCAGTTCCCGCTCCCCAATGCCCGATTCTATCAAGCGGTCATTACGTTAACCAGTCAATTCTTCAGCATCGACGAAGCGCCACGAGCCAAGGATTCATGGAAATTGGTCCGTATGCATCTCATCCACAAGAATATCACTTCCCCCTTGGAACGTATCCAGATTGGGACCATCCAGACTTATGGACCACATCTGGTAAGAAATCATTTTTGCAATTGTGAAGTTGTTATTTCTCAGATTATTTGTCACCAGCTGAACTGCATTATTTAAATGGATATACTTTTGCCCCTTCACCATACATTCCACCGACGAACCAATTGTGTTCCAATCAAGGGGAGCCCTTATGGAATTCATCCATTCACAACAATCAACGTGTGAACTGCGTTGGTGCCACGCTTCCTTTGAAAGACATCGAATCACGTTTAGCGCCTGAGCGATGCAAGAATGAAAAACAACAGACAAAAATTCCTCCATCGATCCGGCGTGGGATCGCTAATTGCGGTTCAGCGGCTCCTTCTCAAGAAAAGAGGCACACAAAAAAATGGTGGATGTTTTGCTCATCGTGACGGAGCGACATTTGTTTTATTGTTACATCCCTTTAAGTTTGGTTTTGTGTCTTACGTGCCTCTCAGACTGAGTTTGTTCCAGCTTCTCACTTCCGAACAGTTGAAGTCGAAGTTCTCTATAATGCTGAGATCGTTCATGCTTTCATAGTGAGAACACCTTCCTTGAGAGAAGAACATTTAGAGTTAGACAGTCAGATATGAATAAAGCGCGTCTCTTTCATCTGATGAAGCACCAGTTATTGCTACTCCATGAAACACGTTTCGTACAATGGTATTGTTTATTCTGATGGCTCACAATCTTTTCTGGTGGTTGGTGGTGTCCGAATTGCTTTTTTGAATTTAGAGTTTGGCGCATTAGCTTCAGTCATGAAATCATCTCTCAATTGGAACGTCAGTTTCTACACGCACTCATGTACAAGGCCTTAGTTCGATTTTTCTCCACCAACTAATGGGAGGCTCAGAAGATTCAACATCGTGTATATCAAGCACCACATTGCAGTGCTGCTGATGCTTTATCATGCACTTCTTTGTTAGCGAGTTGTAAGAATTACTCATAGAAGGTTTCGATCAATCATCCCAGAAGGAATTCCACCGTTGAGACTAGAGTTATTCTTAATGATTGATGATTCCGTCTTCCTGGACTTGACGGGATTCTTGGAATTTCATTAGCGTTGCCTCATCCAGTTATCAAGGTGCTAATTTGTTTCATGATCTCTCATCATGACTCTGTCTCATATTGACAAGACGTTTGAAAGTATGGGTCGATTGGAATCTGGCTCCAGTCTAAATTCCATCTTGTCGAGGGCGTCCTCGGGGCCATTCCAACGCGCAATCCAAAATTGCGCGGTCAAATAGATATTAAAATACTTTTTCCAGTTTCAACAACATACGTAGCACAAAAGGAACTTTAATCTGAAACACTGATCAAATTCTAGGGAACCAAATGTACTCTCAGTACCCTTGACAAGAGCATTTTTTCGTTCTTCCACATTGATCAAATGACAGAGCACGAAGTGATTGCAAGGTTCATGGCCTCCTTGTTGCAAAGGCTGAATTCTGAGTGTACTATGAACACGCTGAAGCAATTGGTTGATATTACCGACTTCATCAAAGGAGGAACCACACTATGAAGTAACTCCTTGTCCACATTAATATTGTCAACAAACAAATATCTCTTCATTTTCTTTGTTTCTTTTTTTTCTTCGTCGTCTTCTTTTCTTCTTTTCGTCTTCGTCTTCTTCTTCTTTCTTCTTTTCTTCGTCTTCTTCAACACTATTTATTCGTTTTTCTCTGTCTTCATTCTCATCGCTATTCATTCTTAGTGTTTGCTTTCTATCTGTTGTATTTTGTTTGGTGTCATTTTTCAATATGTGTCGCTTTTGAATTGGTGAAAAGCTGCATCCCGAACTCATTCTTACAATTCTTAACCATGACTCCTTGTGCAATATCAACCAATTGTATTAATGGTACATTTCACAATTCAGCGCGAACCGTCCATCACTTTGTACCTCTGTCACCCGATTCACATGGAAGAATCGAAAAATGTTCTTGTCTGAGAGTAGATTTGTTGATCAGTGTTGCACATTAAGGTTGCTTTTGTGCAATTGCAAAAAAGTATTCTTTTAATAACGATTTGACCGCGCAATTTGCGCGTTGGAATGGCCCCGATGACGCCCTCGGCCGCACTGAGGAAATGGGACTTAATCAGCTTGTCCCCTTTTTTCTGTTTTGGGGCTTCTGTAGTCAAAAACAGAAGCCAGATAACCATACTTCTTACCCTCACTGTAGTCGTTTCTATTCCGGCCCCCTGCAATCAGACACCAGACAAGACCGTACAGCTTCGGAGTTACCGATATTATTGCAAGCCATATATTCTTTGCTGAACATTTTTTCTTTCAAGTGTCAGGAATATAGTTTCCGGCGGGCCATGTCCCATTACTGACACCCAGAGCGAATCAAAAAATGTTCAACAAAAAACATAACCATTCACCTACTGACGGTAAGTGCTCAACGGTCTTGATATCTCGCATCTGCGAATTGCAGGAGCCCGGAAGGGAAGCTACAATGAGGGTAAGAAAAACGGTTTTCTGATTGATGTCTGGCGACTCTTTTGACCAGCGTCAAGGGGGAACAGGAGGGAAAAATTAGTTCGGACCCATTTCTATGGGCAACCGCAATATGGCCGCGGACGTCCTCGTGGCCAACCGAATGCGCAATCCAAAATTGCGCGTTCAAATAGATATTAAAATACCTTTTTCAGTTTTCATAGCACAAAAGGAACTTAAATGTGAAGCACTGATCAAATTCTAGGGAACCAAATGTACTCTCAGTACCCTTGACAAGAGCATTTTTTCGTTCTTCCACATTGATCAAATGACAGAGCACGAAGTGATTGCAAGGTTCATGGCCTCCTTGTTGCAAAGGCTGAATTCTGAGTGTACTATGAACACGCTGAAGCAATTGGTTGATATTACCGACTTCATCAAAGGAAGAACCACACTATGAAGCAACTCCTTGTCCACATTAATATTGTCAGAGGGCAAACAAATATCTCTTCATTTTCTTCTTTCTTCCTCTTCTTCCTCTTCTTCCTCTTCTTCCTCTTCTTCCTCTTCTTCCTCTTCTTCCTCTTCTTCCTCTTCTTCCTCTTCTTCCTCTTCTTCCTCTTCTTCCTCTTCTTCCTCTTCTTCCTCTTCTTCCTCTTCTTCCTCTTCTTCCTCTTCTTCCTCTTCTTCCTCTTCTTCCTCTTCTTCCTCTTCTTCCTCTTCTTCCTCTTCTTCCTCTTCTTCCTCTTCTTCCTCTTCTTCCTCTTCTTCCTCTTCTTCCTCTTCTTCCTCTTCTTCCTCTTCTTCCTCTTCTTCCTCTTCTTCCTCTTCTTCCTCTTCTTCCTCTTCTTCCTCTTCTTCCTCTTCTTCCTCTTCTTCCTCTTCTTTTCTTCTTCTTTTCTTCTTTTCTTCTTCTTTTCTTCTTTTCTTCGCCTTCTTCCTCTTTTTCGTCTTCGTCTTCTTCCTCTTTTTCGTCTTCTTCCTTTTCTTCGTCTTCTTTCTCTTCTTTTCTTCTTTTCTTCTTCTTTTCTTCTTTTCTTCTTTTCTTCTTCTTTTCTTCTTTTCTTCTTTTCTTCTTTTCTTCTTTTCTTCGTCTTTTCTTCCTCTTCTTTCGTCTTCTTTTCGTCTTCGTCTTCTTCTTTCTTCTTTTCTTCGTCTTCTTCAACACTATTTATTCGTTTTTCTCTGTCTTCATTCTCATCGCTATTCATTCTTAGCGTTTGCTTTCTATCTGTTGTATTTTGTTTGGTGTCATTTTTCAATATGTGTCGCTTTTGAATTGGTGAAAAGCTGCATCCCGAACTCATTCTTACAATTCTTAACCATGACTCCTTGTGCAATATCAACCAAGTGTATTAATGGTACATTTCACAATTCAGCGAACCGTCCATCACTTTGTACCTCTGTCACCCGATTCACATGGAAGAATCGAAAAATGTTCTTGTCTGAGAGTAGATTTGTTGATCAGTGTTGCACATTAAGGTTGCTTTTGTGCAATTGCAAAAAAGTATTCTTTTAATAACGATTTGACCGCGCAATTTGCGCGTTGGAATGGCCCCGATGACGCCCTCGGCCGCACTGAGGAAATGGGACTTAATCAGCTTGTCCCCTTTTTTCTGTTTTGGGGCTTCTGTAGTCAAAAACAGAAGCCAGATATTCAGAAAACCATACTTCTTACCCTCACTGTAGTCGTTTCTATTCCGGCCCCCTGCAATCAGACACCAGACACGACCGTACAGCTTCGGAGTTACCGATATTATTGCAAGCCATATATTCTTTGCTGAACATTTTTTCAAGTGTCAGGAATATAGTTTCCGGCGGGCCATGTCCCATTACTGACACCCAGAGCGAATCAAAAAATGTTCAACAAAAAATATAACCATTCACCTACTGACGGTAAGTGCTCAACGGTCTTGATATCTCGCATCTGCGAATTGCAGGAGCCCGGAAGGGGCGGGGAAGCTACAATGAGGGTAAGAAAAACGGTTTTCTGATTGATGTCTGGCGACTCTTTTGACCAGCGTCAAGGGGGAACAGGAGGGAAAAATTAGTTCGGACCCATTTCTATGGGCAACCGCAATATGGCCGCGGACGTCCTCGTGGCCAACCGAATGCGCAATCCAAAATTGGGCGTTCAAATAGATATTAAAATACCTTTTTCAGTTTTCATAGCACAAAAGGAACTTAAATGTGAAGCACTGATCAAATTCTAGGGAACCAAATGTACTCTCAGTACCCTTGACAAGAGCATTTTTTCGTTCTTCCACATTGATCAAATGACAGAGCACGAAGTGATTGCAAGGTTCATGGCCTCCTTGTTGCAAAGGCTGAATTCTGAGTGTACTATGAACACGCTGAAGCAATTGGTTGATATTACCGACTTCATCAAAGGAAGAACCACACGATGAAGTAACTCCTTGTCCACATTAATATTGTCAGAGGACAAACAAATATCTCTTCATTTTCTTCTTTCTTCCTCTTCTTTCTTCCTCTTCTTTCTTCCTCTTCTTTCTTCTTCTTTTCTTCTTCTTTTCTTCTTTCTTCTTTTCTTCTTTCTTCCTCTTCTTTCTTCTTCTTTCTTCTTTTCTTCTTTCTTCCTCTCCTTTCTTCTTCTTTTCTTCTTTTCTTCGTCTTCTTCCTCTTCTTTCTTCTTCTTTTCTTCTTTCTTCTTCTTTTCTTCTTTTCTTCGTCTTCTTCCTCTTCTTTCTTCTTCTTTTCTTCTTTCTTCCTCTTCTTTCTTCTTTCTTCCTCTTCTTTCTTCTTCTTTTCTTCTTTTCTTCGTCTTCTTCCTCTTCTTTCTTCTTCTTTTCTTCTTCTTTTCTTCTTTTCTTCGTCTTCTTCCTCTTTTTCGTCTTCGTCTTCTTCCTCTTTTTCGTCTCTTCCTCTTCTTCCTCTTCTTTCTTCCTCTTCTTTCTTCCTCTTCTTTCTTCCTCTTCTTTCTTCCTCTTCTTTCTTCCTCTTCTTTCTTCCTCTTCTTTCTTCCTCTTCTTTCTTCTTCTTTTCTTCTTCTTTTCTTCTTTTCTTCGTCTTCTTCCTCTTTTTCGTCTTCGTCTTCTTCCTCTTTTTCGTCTTCGTCTTCTTCCTCTTTTTCGTCTTCGTCTTCTTCCTCTTTTTCGTCTTCGTCTTCTTCCTCTTTTTCGTCTTCGTCTTCTTCCTCTTTTTCGTCTTCGTCTTCTTCCTCTTTTTCGTCTTCGTCTTCTTCCTCTTTTTCGTCTTCGTCTTCTTCCTCTTTTCTTCTTCGTCTTCTTCCTCTTTTTCGTCTTCTTCCTTTTCTTCGTCTTCTTTCTCTTCTTTTCTTCTTTTCTTCTTCTTTTCTTCTTTTCTTCTTTTCTTCTTTTCTTCGTCTTTTCTTCCTCTTCTTTCGTCTTCTTTTCGTCTTCGTCTTCTTCTTTCTTCTTTTCTTCGTCTTCTTCAACACTATTTATTCGTTTTTCTCTGTCTTCATTCTCATCGCTATTCATTCTTAGCGTTTGCTTTCTATCTGTTGTATTTTGTTTGGTGTCATTTTTCAATATGTGTCGCTTTTGAATTGGTGAAAAGCTGCATCCCGAACTCATTCTTACAATTCTTAACCATGACTCCTTGTGCAATATCAACCAAGTGTATTAATGGTACATTTCACAATTCAGCGAACCGTCCATCACTTTGTACCTCTGTCACCCGATTCACATGGAAGAATCGAAAAATGTTCTTGTCTGAGAGTAGATTTGTTGATCAGTGTTGCACATTAAGGTTGCTTTTGTGCAATTGCAAAAAAGTATTCTTTTAATAACGATTTGACCGCGCAATTTGCGCGTTGGAATGGCCCCGATGACGCCCTCGGCCGCACTGAGGAAATGGGACTTAATCAGCTTGTCCCCTTTTTTCTGTTTTGGGGCTTCTGTAGTCAAAAACAGAAGCCAGATATTCAGAAAACCATACTTCTTACCCTCACTGTAGTCGTTTCTATTCCGGCCCCCTGCAATCAGACACCAGACACGACCGTACAGCTTCGGAGTTACCGATATTATTGCAAGCCATATATTCTTTGCTGAACATTTTTTCAAGTGTCAGGAATATAGTTTCCGGCGGGCCATGTCCCATTACTGACACCCAGAGCGAATCAAAAAATGTTCAACAAAAAATATAACCATTCACCTACTGACGGTAAGTGCTCAACGGTCTTGATATCTCGCATCTGCGAATTGCAGGAGCCCGGAAGGGGCGGGGAAGCTACAATGAGGGTAAGAAAAACGGTTTTCTGATTGATGTCTGGCGACTCTTTTGACCAGCGTCAAGGGGGAACAGGAGGGAAAAATTAGTTCGGACCCATTTCTATGGGCAACCGCAATATGGCCGCGGACGTCCTCGTGGCCAACCGAATGCGCAATCCAAAATTGGGCGTTCAAATAGATATTAAAATACCTTTTTCAGTTTTCATAGCACAAAAGGAACTTAAATGTGAAGCACTGATCAAATTCTAGGGAACCAAATGTACTCTCAGTACCCTTGACAAGAGCATTTTTTCGTTCTTCCACATTGATCAAATGACAGAGCACGAAGTGATTGCAAGGTTCATGGCCTCCTTGTTGCAAAGGCTGAATTCTGAGTGTACTATGAACACGCTGAAGCAATTGGTTGATATTACCGACTTCATCAAAGGAAGAACCACACGATGAAGTAACTCCTTGTCCACATTAATATTGTCAGAGGACAAACAAATATCTCTTCATTTTCTTCTTTCTTCCTCTTCTTTCTTCCTCTTCTTTCTTCCTCTTCTTTCTTCCTCTTCTTTCTTCTTCTTTTCTTCTTCTTTTCTTCTTTCTTCTTTTCTTCTTTCTTCCTCTTCTTTCTTCTTCTTTCTTCTTTTCTTCTTTCTTCCTCTCCTTTCTTCTTCTTTTCTTCTTTTCTTCGTCTTCTTCCTCTTCTTTCTTCTTCTTTTCTTCTTTCTTCTTCTTTTCTTCTTTTCTTCGTCTTCTTCCTCTTCTTTCTTCTTCTTTTCTTCTTTCTTCCTCTTCTTTCTTCTTTCTTCTTCTCTCTTTCTTCTTCTTTTCTTCTTTTCTTCGTCTTCTTCCTCTTCTTTCTTCTTCTTTTCTTCTTCTTTTCTTCTTTTCTTCGTCTTCTTCCTCTTTTTCGTCTTCGTCTTCTTCCTCTTTTTCGTCTCTTCCTCTTCTTCCTCTTCTTTCTTCCTCTTCTTTCTTCCTCTTCTTTCTTCCTCTTCTTTCTTCCTCTTCTTTCTTCCTCTTCTTTCTTCCTCTTCTTTCTTCCTCTTCTTTCTTCCTCTTCTTTCTTCTTCTTTTCTTCTTCTTTTCTTCTTTTCTTCGTCTTCTTCCTCTTTTTCGTCTTCGTCTTCTTCCTCTTTTTCGTCTTCGTCTTCTTCCTCTTTTTCGTCTTCGTCTTCTTCCTCTTTTTCGTCTTCGTCTTCTTCCTCTTTTTCGTCTTCGTCTTCTTCCTCTTTTTCGTCTTCGTCTTCTTCCTCTTTTTCGTCTTCGTCTTCTTCCTCTTTTTCGTCTTCGTCTTCTTCCTCTTTTCTTCTTCGTCTTCTTCCTCTTTTTCGTCTTCTTCCTTTTCTTCGTCTTCTTTCTCTTCTTTTCTTCTTTTCTTCTTCTTTTCTTCTTTTCTTCTTTTCTTCGTCTTTTCTTCCTCTTCTTTCGTCTTCTTTTCGTCTTCGTCTTCTTTTCGTCTTCGTCTTCTTCAACACTATTTATTCGTTTTTCTCTGTCTTCATTCTCATCGCTATTCATTCTTAGCGTTTGCTTTCTATCTGTTGTATTTTGTTTGGTGTCATTTTTCAATATGTGTCGCTTTTGAATTGGTGAAAAGCTGCATCCCGCACTCATTCTTACAATTCTTAACCATGACTCCTTGTGCAATATCAACCAAGTGTATTAATGGTACATTTCACAATTCAGCGAACCGTCCATCACTTTGTACCTCTGTCACCCGATTCACATGGAAGAATCGAAAAATGTTCTTGTCTGAGAGTAGATTTGTTGATCAGTGTTGCACATTAAGGTTGCTTTTGTGCAATTGCAAAAAAGTATTCTTTTAATAACGATTTGACCGCGCAATTTGCGCGTTGGAATGGCCCCGATGACGCCCTCGGCCGCACTGAGGAAATGGGACTTAATCAGCTTGTCCCCTTTTTTCTGTTTTGGGGCTTCTGTAGTCAAAAACAGAAGCCAGATATTCAGAAAACCATACTTCTTACCCTCACTGTAGTCGTTTCTATTCCGGCCCCCTGCAATCAGACACCAGACAAGACCGTACAGCTTCGGAGTTACCGATATTATTGCAAGCCATATATTCTTTGCTGAACATTTTTTCAAGTGTCAGGAATATAGTTTCCGGCGGGCCATGTCCCATTACTGACACCCAGAGCGAATCAAAAAATGTTCAACAAAAAATATAACCATTCACCTACTGACGGTAAGTGCTCAACGGTCTTGATATCTCGCATCTGCGAATTGCAGGAGCCCGGAAGGGGCGGGGAAGCTACAATGAGGGTAAGAAAAACGGTTTTCTGATTGATGTCTGGCGACTCTTTTGACCAGCGTCAAGGGGGAACAGGAGGGAAAAATTAGTTCGGACCCATTTCTATGGGCAACCGCAATATGGCCGCGGACGTCCTCGTGGCCAACCGAATGCGCAATCCAAAATTGCGCGTTCAAATAGATATTAAAATACCTTTTTCAGTTTTCATAGCACAAAAGGAACATAAATGTGAAGCACTGATCAAATTCTAGGGAACCAAATGTACTCTCAGTACCCTTGACAAGAGCATTTTTTCGTTCTTCCACATTGATCAAATGACAGAGCACGAAGTGATTGCAAGGTTCATGGCCTCCTTGTTGCAAAGGCTGAATTCTGAGTGTACTATGAACACGCTGAAGCAATTGGTTGATATTACCGACTTCATCAAAGGAAGAACCACACTATGAAGTAACTCCTTGTCCACATTAATATTGTCAGAGGACAAACAAATATCTCTTCATTTTCTTCTTTCTTCCTCTTCTTTCTTCCTCTTCTTTCTTCCTCTTCTTCCTCTTCTTCCTCTTCTTCCTCTTCTTCCTCTTCTTCCTCTTCTTCCTCTTCTTCCTCTTCTTCCTCTTCTTCCTCTTCTTCCTCTTCTTCCTCTTCTTCCTCTTCTTTTCTTCTTCTTTTCTTCTTTTCTTCTTCTTTTCTTCTTTTCTTCGCCTTCTTCCTCTTTTTCGTCTTCGTCTTCTTCCTCTTTTTCGTCTTCTTCCTTTTCTTCGTCTTCTTTCTCTTCTTTTCTTCTTTTCTTCTTCTTTTCTTCTTTTCTTCTTTTCTTCTTCTTTTCTTCTTTTCTTCTTTTCTTCTTTTCTTCTTTTCTTCTTTTCTTCTTTTCTTCGTCTTTTCTTCTTTTCTTCCTCTTCTTTCGTCTTCTTTTCGTCTTCGTCTTCTTCTTTCTTCTTTTCTTCGTCTTCTTCAACACTATTTATTCGTTTTTCTCTGTCTTCATTCTCATCGCTATTCATTCTTAGCGTTTGCTTTCTATCTGTTGTATTTTGTTTGGTGTCATTTTTCAATATGTGTCGCTTTTGAATTGGTGAAAAGCTGCATCCCGAACTCATTCTTACAATTCTTAACCATGACTCCTTGTGCAATATCAATCAAGTGTATTAATGGTACATTTCACAATTCAGCGAACCGTCCATCACTTTGTACCTCTGTCACCCGATTCACATGGAAGAATCGAAAAATGTTCTTGTCTGAGAGTAGATTTGTTGATCAGTGTTGCACATTAAGGTTGCTTTTGTGCAATTGCAAAAAAGTATTCTTTTAATAACGATTTGACCGCGCAATTTGCGCGTTGGAATGGCCCCGATGACGCCCTCGGCCGCACTGAGGAAATGGGACTTAATCACCTTGTCCCCTTTTTTCTGTTTTGGGGCTTCTGTAGTCAAAAACAGAAGCCAGATATTCAGAAAACCATACTTCTTACCCTCACTGTAGTCGTTTCTATTCCGGCCCCCCTGCAATCAGACACCAGACACGACCGTACAGCTTCGGAGTTACCGATATTATTGCAAGCCATATATTCTTTGCTGAACATTTTTTCTTTCAAGTGTCAGGAATATAGTTTCCGGCGGGCCATGTCCCATTACTGACACCCAGAGCGAATCAAAAAATGTTCAACTATAACCATTCACCTACTGACGGTAAGTGCTCAACGGTCTTGATATCTCGCATCTGCGAATTGCAGGAGCCCGGAAGGGGCGGGGAAGCTACAATGAGGGTAAGAAAAACGGTTTTCTGATTGATGTCTGGCGACTCTTTTGACCAGCGTCAAGGGGGAACAGGAGGGAAAAATTAGTTCGGACCCATTTCTATGGGCAACCGCAATATGGCCGCGGACGTCCTCGTGGCCAACCGAATGCGCAATCCAAAATTGCGCGTTCAAATAGATATTAAAATACCTTTTTCAGTTTTCATAGCACAAAAGGAACTTAAATGTGAAGCACTGATCAAATTCTAGGGAACCAAATGTACTCTCAGTACCCTTGACAAGAGCATTTTTTCGTTCTTTCCACATTGATCAAATGACAGAGCACGAAGTGATTGCAAGGTTCATGGCCTCCTTGTTGCAAAGGCTGAATTCTGAGTGTACTATGAACACGCTGAAGCAATTGGTTGATATTACCGACTTCATCAAAGGAAGAACCACACGATGAAGTAACTCCTTGTCCACATTAATATTGTCAGAGGACAAACAAATATCTCTTCATTTTCTTCTTTCTTCCTCTTCTTTCTTCCTCTTCTTTCTTCCTCTTCTTTCTTCTTCTTTTCTTCTTCTTTTCTTCTTTCTTCTTTTCTTCTTTCTTCCTCTTCCTTCTTCTTCTTTTCTTCTTTTCTTCGTCTTCTTCCTCTTCTTTCTTCTTCTTTCTTCTTTCTTCCTCTTCTTTCTTCTTTCTTCCTCTTCTTTCTTCTTCTTTTCTTCTTTTCTTCGTCTTCTTCCTCTTCTTTCTTCTTCTTTTCTTCTTCTTTTCTTCTTTCTTCTTTTCTTCTTTCTTCCTCTTCTTTCTTCTTCTTTTCTTCTTTTCTTCGTCTTCTTCCTCTTCTTTCTTCTTCTTTTCTTCTTTCTTCCTCTTCTTTCTTCTTTCTTCCTCTTCTTTCTTCTTCTTTTCTTCTTTTCTTCGTCTTCTTCCTCTTCTTTCTTCTTCTTTTCTTCTTCTTTTCTTCTTTTCTTCGTCTTCTTCCTCTTTTTCGTCTTCGTCTTCTTCCTCTTTTTCGTCTCTTCCTCTTCTTCCTCTTCTTTCTTCCTCTTCTTTCTTCCTCTTCTTTCTTCCTCTTCTTTCTTCCTCTTCTTTCTTCCTCTTCTTTCTTCCTCTTCTTTCTTCCTCTTCTTTCTTCCTCTTCTTTCTTCCTCTTCTTTCTTCCTCTTCTTTCTTCCTCTTCTTTCTTCTTCTTTTCTTCTTCTTTTCTTCTTTTCTTCGTCTTCTTCCTCTTTTTCGTCTTCGTCTTCTTCCTCTTTTTCGTCTCTTCCTCTTCTTCCTCTTCTTTCTTCCTCTTCTTTCTTCCTCTTCTTTCTTCCTCTTCTTTCTTCCTCTTCTTTCTTCCTCTT